CTCCTGGAAAACACTGAGGTTGACGTCATGTTTGCCGTTTATTATTTCCTCTGTTCTACTACTGCTCTTTGGCTTCCCATAAGTCATCGTTGCACACGAGGCTCCGAGCTATCAGTGGCTCACAGTGACTCACTAAAATGACCTCATGTTAAAAAATGTCAAACTGTCCCCATGGTGCCTGGAGAGCCGGCTGTGGGAGTCTGAAACAAGTCGACGAGAAGAGGAACAGAACAAGCCGAGCGAGCGTACCAGGAGACGCCTTTCGTAACCGCAGACCTGTGTGATCAATCGGAGAGTCTGGATCGCAGTGAATTATGCCTGCTGTTTAAATGCTCCAGGGATCGATGACATAATGACTTGCCTGAGTCTATCTGCTCTGGAGTCATTTCCTCCCCTCCTGCTGAGTGGCGTGCTCTGTAACGGCAGAAAGCCCCCCTTTCCTCCCTCCCTCTCAACAGATAGTCTCCACACTTCCCAGACAGGCGATGCAAAAAGAAAATAGAGTCATCAATCTCGGCTTAATGCTGAAAACCTGATGAGAAAACATTTGGCAAACACTGAGCTGAAATGTAACGGTTGCCGTCCTGGGGTGAAAATGACCCGAATTCATCACTGCAAGTATCTACTCACAGAAAAACCCCGCAGCACGCCGAGTCGGGCCAGACTGCTATTGTCAATAAACGCTGTGAGGTTTTAGAAAAGCTAATTTAAGCCTATACAAAGTCCAGAAGAGGGTGATTTATATCAGCACTGAGCTAGTGGAGTGCTCAGAGAGGAGAGAGTACATGAAGCCGTAAAGCCAACACTTTGGCAGCACCTTTTCTGCCTCCCCATCATCCACCGTGTTCAACTAGTTGTTTCATTTTGTAGTGAGATGAATTGTTATTTTTCAGCATTTAAAACCAACTCAGTACCTCCAAGAAGCATTTAGGAGTTTTGAAGACTGAAAACTTATTCTTGCATCAAACAATCCGCTCTGTAAGTCTGACATCATCAGCTGTTCGGGTCCAAACTCAGCTTCAGGTCCCAAAGCCAAACGATCGCTGCAGCATCACTGAGAGTTACAAACTGTATAAATTCTTTCATCTTTAATAAAACGATCAGCGTTGCTGCTTTACCAGGTGGAACAATTAAGTTTAACATCCAGGCATCCATGAAAACAGGATACATAAATTAAACTGAGTTAAAGGTTAGCAGGAAGTTAGCTCGCTTGTTTCCACCTAAACATGATACAGCATGTTCTGACAGAGAGATTTCTGAACAAATTAAGATGTACTGCAACGTTTACGATCTTGGTAACCACAGCAGTCTGTGTAAAGCTTCTGGGCGGCTGATGTGTTGTCCAGAGGGAAAATCCTCTGTTTAAAAAAACCCTCTAACTGTATTGAGACTTTGGGAAACAGCCTCAGCTCTCTCATTCTGCCACCTGACTGCTTCTGCAGCTGCTTCCTGTAGAGGTCGCCACAACAATCACCGACCTCCGTCTCACCCGATCCCCATCATTGTCCACTGTCACACCCCTGCTTCACTCTGGGTGGCTCATCGTGAGAAAATCTATACAGTTTGGAAACACAAACTTTTGACCAGGTAAAAGTGCTCCTGAGTCAAACTTGATCCCTCAGGTGGGTGATTCTTTTAATTTAATCTCCCACCAGCTGCTGTCAGATTTGGGTCTTGCTGAGTGACAGTGTCAGACCGATAAGCTCTGCTGAGCTCAGCATAATAAAATCAAACATGTTTAAAACATGCTGACGTACTACGATGCTCGAGAGCAAATCTTTTCTGCTACGGAAACGTTCAGAATAAAACAACAGTCAGTTAGAAAACACTGTTTCTTTCATCTCAATCTCATTTTCCTGATATAAGTCTGCAGTCACACCAGCAACAGGCTCACTGCAGGAGTCATAACGGGCGATCGTGGCTCAAGAGTTGGGTGTTCGTCTTGTAACCGGAAGGTCGCCGGTTTGATCCCCGGGCTCTCTGTCCTGGTCGTTGTGTCCTTGGGCAAGACACTTCACCTACCGCCTACTGGTGATGGCCAGAGGGGCCGATGGCGCGATATGGCAGCCTCGCTTCTGTCAGTCTGCCCCAGGGCAGCTGTGGCTACAACCGTAGCTGCCTCCACCAGTGTGTGAATGTGAGAGTGAATGAATAGTGGCATTGTAAAGCGCTTTGAGGGGCCCGAAAAGCGCTATATAAATCCAATCCATTATTATTATTATTATTAACTCTAATAAAAATGATATAATATGATATATTGATATAATACATAAGGCAAAATATAAATATAGTTTAAAAAACACAAAAAAAATTTAATTACCAGTTTTTATGCTTTTGTACAGTTATGGTTCAAGGCTTTTGCTTTTTTCATCCATACATGTTTTAGTTGCATTAATCTGCCACCATCATGGCATTTTTTACCCACAATCATTTGGAGTAAAAATGCCCAATTAGAGAGGCCTTAAAGAAGTCTCAGCATGGTGAAAGCAAACACCTCGACGTCTGAGGCCCGTTTCTCCCCGAGGAGCTTCTAATCGTTGGTTTTTGACTGTAACTTCATAGAATCGAAGTTATGATAAATATCGTGGTGTACCTTCTGCTTGTTTACTAACAAAAATCCCATGTTTATGCAGTGCTGTTGTGTAAATTATGAGCGTGTCCTTAAAATTACAGTGATTTTGTTGTTGCTTCAGCGCTCAGCCCCCTGCAGGGAGCTCGAGGTTGGATCAAAATATTAAGCAGGGATATTAAAAAATGTAACTGGCCTCTGAAGAGCAGGAGGAGAGAGGCACACTGATACAGGGAGTGGAGGTAATAGAGAGACCGGGGGTCAAAGGTTACTGCAGCCCTCGCAGGAGAATAAAAATGAGGTTGAGATAAATCACCGCTGGCTGGAGGTCTGACGCCAGATGGCCACCGCACCTCCAACAAACTCATCTACAGTAAGGCCTCAGACACGGCTTCATGACACGCACACGCTCCAACCTTGAAATCCAAAAGACAAAAGGAAAAAACAAAACATCTGTGTTTTAGGGGAGGTTTCCAAACTTCCAGGGAAAAGCCCGAGGCCACAGCATATAGGCTGATGGGAACACGTATGCGTTTATATGTGCTAATGAAAGATTTATCCCCATGATGCTCCCATTTGAGCTGTGAAATATGCAGTAAATAATGCACTTTATTAATAATGCACACTCCATGCTTTCCTGCAGTTGCAGAAGAGCAGAAAGAACTAATTAAATCTACCAGACTTTCTTCTAATGACCAAAGATTTTTAAAGATTTTCGGGTTTTTAAACCATAGAAATTAAAATTATATGACTATGCAGGCGAAAATCTACAGCAGCTACTAAAAGTAATAATCCTCTCTGAGTGCTGACCTACTTTTAATTTGCTACAGCACGGAGCTAACAACATTTTAAACTGGTTAAATTCTGTATAATGCTGCACTTTGAGCAGATCGGTCCAAATATCAGTAGCATCGGTACCAAAGCATTCGTGTCAGATCGATAACACAGTGGATCAATACTTCAGTAGTTCAGTGCGTTGTTCCTGTTCTTCAGAAAGTAGACACTGCGTAGACACGCAGGTGCACTTTGCTCCGCCCCCTCCACGCTGTGCGGTATTTAGTTATCATACAAGCTGCGAGTGGAGAGTGCAGCATCATGTAGAGCTACTTTACAGCTGTGAATGCAACCACACCAAACATGATGTTGGAGGGAAAATGTCTAAGACACGAAAGAGCACGAAAAAGAAAAGGAAACGAAAGATCAGCAAGAGAAACAAAGAGAAGAAGGACAGACCGCCAACACAGAGGTCAGAGGTCACTGTAACAGTCCTTTCAGAGAGGCAAAGAACATCCAGCTAGCTCGCATCATGGCCACAACCCGTCTGAAGTTAATACAACACACAAAGAAGCGATATTACAAAAGAGACCGGCTGACTGAGGAGCACAGGACAGAAACAGAGACAGAAACAGAGACAGAAATGCAACGTGATGGCAGATAGGTGATTCTGAGACAAAGTGTGTGTGTGTTTGATGTGTGTTTGATGTGTGTGTGTGTGTATTAGGCTCTTTGTCTAAGGAATCATCTCAACAGAATAACCAATTATCAGCTTCTTTCTTCCTCCTGCTCCCTTTAGGGGGCGCCGCAGAGATCATCTCCTCCTACCCCAGCATCCTCCTCTGTCAGTTCAACCCTCTGCGTGTCCTCCTTCACGGCACCCATGGACCTCCTCTGAGGTCTTCTTCTTTTCCTCCAGCTCCATCCTCATCACCCTTTGCCCGATATATCCCCCTCCCTCCTCTGCACATGTCTAACACATCTCAGCTTCACCTTCAGATCGGCCTCCTGTCTTTGTATCTGTGGCGCTACCTAACAGCAGGACTCATCACCATCTTCTGAACCCACTCCACCCTGCCTGCACTCTCTACTTCCCCGGCTTTGGATGGTTGACCACAGGTCATCCACCTTTACTACCTCAGCTCCTTCCACCTCTCCAGTTCATACCTCCACCTGCTCCCTACTCTCACTCACAGTTTCACAGCGACTCCTGTCTGAGCTCACACTCTCAAAGCAAACATCACACCTGTCGAGCTCTCTGTCTGCACGACGCCATACTGCTGCTCACCGATCATCACCGCTCTTCTTAACGAGCTTCAAAAACTCTGTCTTTACGCCACGGCTCATCAGCTTTATCCCTCTGCAGTCACAGCAGCTCTGCACGTCACCCTGGTTATTGGACATCAGTACAGTCGAGTATTTCTTCCTCAGACATCTCTCACTCTACAAGATGGGATTTGAGCAGCATATTCTTCCATTTAGCATTCAGTCTTCATTATGTAACCCATGTGAAATACAGGGCTGCAAAATCCCTTTTTGTAATCTAAGGCTATAGCCTGTTATTGTCACAAGGGGGCGCTGTGATGCAGTCTTGTGTTCTGACGACCCTTGCGTCTAGTGCGCAGGAAGTATTACCTCTCTCTTCCTGTGAGATCTTCCTCTGATGGCGGTCAAGTACGTGTCGGAGCGCATGGAAAAAGTATCTTGGTATGCAATACTGCAACCCGGTTAATGAGACCAGATTGTTTTACGTATAAATGCTAATAAGGTACTCTTTTATTAGGCCCCGAACTCTGACCACAAAGGGAATAACGTCTGTCAAGTTATTTGTGTCTGAAAATCCCGGTGAGTCACGTGCTTTCGTTAGCTACCTGTTAAGTTAGATAATGTATTTCACTAGCCGATTCAGCTCAGAAACCTTTGAACAAAAACAATCGGGAGCTATGAGAATCTGGCGTGTTGTTTCACTTCTCCTGTTGTTCTTTACAGTGTGTTATAAGTGTTGAATGCTTTGAGCTAAACGATGCCGATGCTAGATGCGATGCGATGCTAGCTGCTAATAGCTGTTAGCCACCCCACCCCGCTGAAGCCATATTCCGATCGGGGAGGTATTCAAGTAAAGCAATAGCTCTGTTTATATTAGAATGGTTATGTCTAATAGATATGAGCATATTTCAAGTTTAATAGTATTTGCACTGAATAAGTTACATTTTCTTGTAAGCCTTAAGGAGAATGTCACTTTCATTGCTATGACTGTTTACATTACTGTTTAAGCTGCTGATGTTCTTTGTTGTGATATAAATTTTTGATAAAATTGTTGATACTGGTACAAACAAGTTACTGTAACTCTTGTAATTGGTAAGCTAAAGGGAATGCCATTTGTGATTAATACATTTGGAAAAGAAGTTAATGAGCTCATGTAAGAACACAAAATGGGAAAAGAAATTGATTGTTCTGCACTGTTTGTGTAGATTGGTTTTTTTGAACTACTAGAAGGATCTGGAGAACCACTGACGGCGAGAACAGCCCAAATAGATCCTGGATGATCGTGAAATGGTGTGGCCAGCCATGCGATCGGATTGTGGGATTTGCCTGAGAAACTGATTCAAGCAACCCTGGATTACAGATAAGCCCTATGCACTACTTTTCCTACCCGGATAATAGGTTTGCACACTGACAATT